CCTGAGACATAAGTTGACAAGTCCCATGTGCCTGCAATTTTACCAGTACCCTTTCCCTTCAAAACCGGAGCGCAATCATGTGAACAATTAATGCTTGGCGGCAGAAACAAGTAAGGTGGCAGTATAAGGAACTCTACTGCTACTAAATATTTTATATAGATATTGTCATTTTTTTTCTTGAACATCGCTGCAAGATGGCTGCATGACACGGTGATGAGAAGGCCTATACCCACATGTGGATGAAGTCGGACTGTGGATTGTCGGAATGTAACGATTCATAGTAAAAACTATAAACACGCCACGAGCAGGTCTCAAAATATTAAATGGCGAAATTGTACTTTATGTCGTACTCATTCGCCCGCTAAAATAAATAATGCCGCATTCATAGCAGCACATACCAATAAGTGAGACTTTATGAACTGCAGTGAGTGGCCTACTCTACTTTCATTGGCCTCTGTCTCTGAGTTCGAAATGATGGTGGCCATAATTGATTGGTCATCGTAATTCTACAATTTTTTGCATTTTGCATTTACATCTTGAATTGGCGTTGATCTAGTTCGAACGAATTGCTTTATTAACGATATAAAAACTATAGTAAATTACTGCGGTTACTGGATAATGTTCGTTGTTTGCGAACTGGAAAAGTATGGCAGTTAGTGAGTAGAGGAACATCACTATCCCTTGACATTGTATCTTAATATTAATTTTATTGAATAATTATTATGACATTTGTACTACCTGCTGTTATATATTTTGAAACCTGTTTTTATATTCCACTACAAAATTCCTTCAATCTGACTAGACTTGAATCAGCGTCGATGTCAGAGTCAAATAATAAATGATTCCAAATTCCATAGGTAAAATAAATTTACGCTTGTAAACGTCATTTTTTTAAGTTAGCTCCTTCAGTGTGCTGACTTCCCTGAGAAAAACGAGCGAGAAACACTTGGGATTGGTCCTTTCACATAAACTTAAATGCTATGGAATACACGTTGAATCATAATTGTGTGGAATCTAGACTCATGACGTCTTTCATACATCTTTATAGTCTTCAATTTGGTAATATGAATATTCAATTAAAATACTTTTAATGTAAGTTTTAAACTTAGTAATTGATAATAATATACTCCGGAATCTTATTGTAAAAACTTATAGTTTCCTATAAAATTGTTTACTTTAGTCAAGCGTCTGTTGCCACACCGGGGCCACTGCTGTTACCAACTGATCGATCGTTACAGATCGAGTCTTGTATTTTAAACTGTAATATAGATAATAGGATATCTTTTTTATTCTGTAAAAGTTTGCCAGGATCGTGGAAAGTAGTAATCGATAGTCTAAGCCTACCCCTATTGGGTATCCAAAGGCGTGAACATGTCGTCAGTGTTTTCTAGAAAGGACGTAAGTGCCATATGGAAAAACTTTTTCAGAGAGCATGTTTTAGGTTTTTAACAACTGTTTTAAAATATCACGTCCTGTTTTAAAATATTACGTCCTGTTTTAAAATTTCTTTTTGGTTTCAATTAAGTTGAAGTTTTGAAATTGAATTCAAAACAGAACCTACCAAAATGTTTCAAAACATTCGAGAAAACTTAAAATATGCTCTTCTGAACATTTTTTCGAAATGTCGCTTACATTTTTTCTACAACTTACGTAAAATCGGAAAGAAATTAGTGAGGTGTGTTAGCTACTAATTGTGTTCTAGTTTAATTGCTTTAAATAACTCGTTTGCGGTGATGTGGCGTATTTAATGTCCCTTAACGACATAAATAGATCTCGCTACATCGTGAAAGGTCACCGGCCTTTCGATTGGGCCACGATCTATTTGACATGACGTCAGCACATTTTTTAAACATAAATCATTAATTAAAGACAAAGAAATTTTCTTAAGTTTTCATTGAATGCCAGGATGTTTCACCGTTATATTAAATATTTTTGTAAAAATACTCGACTAGTTACAAAGATCGAAGTAGTTGCGTGAAGAAACACATTTCTCACAGATGGCGCTACGGCAAAAAGTCATTAAAAACCAAAAACAAGCATATAGAAAAATTAAAAAAGTCCGTAGGCTTGTTCCATGGCTTAGTTGGCGTAGCGTCTAGCACGGTTTGCTGGAAGACTCTGGTCCGAATCCAGCCGGATCGAGGGAATATTTTCTTAGTATTCGCTCTTTGTATTAATAGATTTTCTTAAGCTGTTATGTGCTTTTGAGGACCCTTCATCGTTTCACTTGAAAGACGTCCACTGATCGACATATGTCTACCCTAATATCGCCACATCGACCAGTCCTTGCGCTGCTGCAGATTCCCGCAGCATTCAAATAGCAACATAGATTCCTACACTCGGTGTTACTCTGTGAAATCGAATTAACAATGAGGATACACCCAAAATAACCACAGTTTTTTTATGATACACGGGACGAACTATTTGCGCGCCTGGTGTGAAGTGCCACGCCTGTCCATAGCAGTTGCAGAGTCATTCATAGCTTTAAATCGCAAAGATCTAAGCGGCATTGCAACAGCGCGCGTCACCCTGAGATTTAAGTTGAAGTTGCATGTAATTTCATCAGCACCCTTCAAAACCGGAACGCTGTTATTCTCACATTGTTGCTTGGCGGCAGAAATTGTTGGCATTACTTCCCTGGACGAACTCTTTCACAAGAAGCTCTACTGTTACTAAAAATGGCAATAAAGCACTGTTACACCTTTTAATACAATTACAATTTCCTTGGCTGAGCAAAAAAATTCGAATTAGACCTTTCGCTACCCGTTTTGTTATTTATTTAGTTATGTGAGTTAATAAACACAATATTGTCATTGGAGAAAACAACCATGCATGTGGTAATTGATCTTGTCGCTGCTTTTCAAATATAATGACCCAAATCGAAATAGTATATTTTCTGACGTTCTACACACCTGCAGCTTGATTTTGATTGCCTCACCCGATCGGAAACTGCGTCTTTTCCGAGTCGAGGCGCGTAATTGCGATTCACAACTGGCCGATCGGAAGCTTTGATATTTCTAATCGGAACAATAGTTGATTTAACTCACAAATTAGAAAGATACAGTAGGAATCAGGTTCATCTTCTCGCTCGGAAACCCATCTAATTTCGAGATTACCCGATTCCGCTTTGAATCAAAATTAGCACGCTGTATGCTGAATGTGCTAAATTTTACTATGAATAAATTACTGAGCTTTCCATTGGAAAAAAAAATCACGTTAAAAGATATGGCCAATATTGTGCGCTGTATACAACTGAAATATTTTAAATCTTCTTTTTATTTTTTATTTTAAGTCTTCTCGATCAATAGCGTGTTTTTGAGAAAGGTCGTTATTCTAGAAAGTCATCGATGTGTCGGCGTCGGCTTCTCGACCCGAACACCGACACCGTGCGAAAATGTAATAATCCACTTAGGTTTCTCATCAATTCCACTCATTCCAGTGTTTTTGTTAACAATAATTTTCTTTCTTCATTACCTGTAATCCGATTATAATTGTAATGATTCATAATTTCATTATGATTTCGAATTGTTCGCTCGTTGAACATGACGTAATTGTACGCGGCTTGAACATCCTTTTTCGCCCGGTTGCGCTAAAGTCATTTGATGTTATTAATTTCAATATTTATTCTATACGTTTGGTATTATTTTTGTATAATATACTGTGTTTTTAGGGCTCCATCCCCAAATGGTGTAAAAAAACTGAATTCCATGAAAGGACTTAATCCTCTATATATATTTCCTCATTGCTTTCGATTTACAACCGATTTAAAAAGTATATGAAATAGGAATATGGTGAATCGACATCTTCCCTATTCTATCCAATTACGCTTTTGCATTCTCCCTCTCACTCGAACCTTCGCCCGGATCGGTGCGCATTGTCAGATAAGGTCTTTACCGTATCTTCCCCGGTCTTCATTGGAGACGGCCTTCGCCTAAAGCGATGTGCGATTGCGAATGGGTTCGATATTTGACTCGTTAGTAATTACTTATCTTATCATTCGAATGACAAATTAGTAACCTACTAATTTGTTATAATTCGTATTCGAATGTTCTCAAAGAGCATTCATTACATAAAACATTTCTGTGTAGCCCTGTCTGACATATGGTAAATACCGTAAAGGGGGACAGGAATGTTTTGATATAGACATGGTGAATGTGTTGTTCCGACATATTAATTTTTTTTTTTTTTTTTATTAGGTTCACACAACTGGATACAATTCAGATAGAAGCTAAGTAAGTGATTTCTTAGGCTAATGACATGATGAGAATGTATCCTACTAGATGTGAACACAACATGCAAGAATCGTTCGACTTGTACATCAGACCGAATGACATTCGGTATGGGTAATCATTCGCCTCGATTCGAATGATTGATTGATTAGATTCGACTAAGGGCGCGTTCCCACTATGTCGCAACGTTTTATTTATCATTGGACGACTGTCGCGTCTAGCCTGTTCCCATATCACGACAATCTGTCGTGACTGTCGTGGACGTTCATTTTATCGAACACTGTCGTGTCTAGCTGTTCCCACTAGATCTTGACGACAATTCATCGGTTCACGGCATCCGCCTTGTGGTTTGCACGACAGAATTATTTAAAGCTGCTATTATCTGTCGACATTTTACCGTTTTATTTATCATCTAACGACTGTCGTTCTAGCTCTTCTCATTGCCACGACATAATGTTATCGTAATGTCAAATGTCAAAAAAGTGAACAACAGTTAATCGTGTTGTTCTATGTGTGAACAACTTCATTTAAATATACAAGTCACGACACTTCAAAATGCACGACTATCTGTCGTCGCGATATAATGGGAACGCGCCCTTAAGCGAATGATTTGCTCATTCGAATGATTAGTATTAGTAACATACAAAGTCGCGCGTCGCTATGCGCAATATATTCTTTTTCATTTTATAATCATGGACTATCTATTTTACGGCTAAGAGCAGACAAGAGGAAACGCATCATGAATTAACCTTTATTATGTCGTTGTTCCAGGCCCGGTGCAACGGAGCACGGGCACGGCGGCGGCGGGCTGGCGTACGGCGGCAAGCCGGCGGTGGTGCAGGGGACCCGCGCACCCAGCACGAATTACGTGCAGCCTTACTCGTCGCTGCGCTTGCACCAACCCTATGGATCCGCTGCGCTCACGTATGCCAGGTAAATCTTCGACCACTTGGCCTACATACTGCAGAGAGCAATACAATATCTTCGCCTTATTTTCTCAAATTCGTATCTGAAAGCACAAAGTTACTGAAATGCAAAAAATTGATTTTATATTCAAATTTTGCAGGCTGATTTCATATCACATTTCCTTCATATTCACACACTCGCTTATACCTGTTCTTAAAGTAATGCATCCAAATTATCACCCTTCATAAGAAATTGGAAATAAATAGAAAGTTTTGCCTTCTCCTGAATAACACTCTTTATTTTAGAAAGTAAGGCATCGATATCTGACATTGTATAATAGTATATCAAAATGAAATTTGTTCATAATATCTTTTTCATCACACTTTTACGTAAATAGTGTGATTGCATGCAGGTTAACTTGACTATAAACCCCCAAATAAAACCCTAGGAACTTTTTCCTTCTTATTACTGACCGTGACTGTAATGAGAAGAAAAAAGGCCCAAGGGTATCTTATCGTATGTAGGTAGTTCCTTGCTATAACCAGGAGTATAGGGAATGATTGCATCTCGCCAGTACCGGGATTTCGCGATATTATACCGGAATCGGGAATTCCCGGGAGCAAGCTCTAAGCGAGAGGTATTGCTAGTAAACATTCACAACAGTTTTTTAATAGAATGGAAAAGAGGCGAGGATACAAAGACACCGTAACAGGTGTGGGCCCGCATCCGCGCGAACCGGTTTTCCGATCGCCATCTGCAGGAACACTCGCATTTGTAGCAAAAACACGCGCCACAGTGACATATTCAGAATGTAGATTGTTTAAGCGGACTTTAGGATTGTATGAATTTGTCCTTCAAAAATTACTTAACTTCTTCATACTTGCTTACCTAAACTTTGAACTCGGTAAAGTTAATGTTATTGAGTTTTCCGGTTTTCGAGATTGATACACATGAAGCATCACTCTACACACATCTAGGTCTAGGTATCATGCACGTTTTTGCCAATTACTGAAAATTAGGATTTTTAATATTTTAATAATAATAACGCTCACAATCAACATAGCCCCGCACTAGGGAAACCCTGTGTCGCGGGTGCCATGGACACACACATAGACAACCACAAATTACACCCAAACTCACGAGAGAAATAAATGTAGGCCATACAAGTCTTTCTCCCGGCCCGGGAATCGAACCTGGGACCTCTGCGTGGCAGTCCGGCATGGTAACCGTTCAGCTACGGAGGCAGTATATACATTTATACATTTATATACTGCCTCCGTGTTAAATAAATTGTTTGAAAATCCTGATTCAGTAATTACCAAAAACGTGCTCGACACTTGCTTGACACTTTTGTTGGGTGTATTTTTTCGGATCTAAGAGACCATGAGACCTGTAAAGAGTCCGAAATGTTTGTTAGTTTGTTTAAAAAACAAATACACGCGACTTAGATCCGAAAAAAACTAGTTTCATTTCCAATGTGTAGCAAATCGTGAATACCTAAGAACTCTACGAAATTGGAATGGACCCTGTCGTCCAATTTCAACTTCGGCAGATGCATTGAATCCACGGCTCAAAATGCAGCCAGGAAGCTTGGCATCTTTTCCGAGGTGACGGCGTTACTTCACACCGGGACAGTCCCGTATTTTTCTACATAAATTTTGTTTATAGTGACCCTACCTATCAACCTCATGGTTATCCGGAAAGGACTCTATAAACTGTGCAAATCCACGGACAGGGTTGCCACAGACAGTTGTCAAGGACTTCATTCGGTTCTCAAAAGGCTTGTGCCCCGGGTATCAGGTATCAGGTAACTGTACCAAGGCTCAAGTCCGGCCGTGAATGTAGTACCTACTGCTGCCACCTATGGGATGCCTTTGCTAAATACCAACTGGCTACCTTGGATTCAGTTGAAAAGCGTGCCTAAAGGCTTATAAGTAACTCGGATTTAATTGAGCCGAAGCTGCAAAGCATTGAATACCGTCGTAAAATTGCCTGCTTCTTCAATATTCTACAGGATATGTCACGGAGAGTGTGCGAGGGAATTGCACGCTTTAATACCGTCTTCACCGGAAAGGTCCATCCGGGGACTAGACGTAGGCTGGGGTTCCGGCCCAATGTTGTGGATATTCCAAATATTCGCACGCAGCGTTAAGCTTCCACATTTATATGGTAAACGGCTATGGAGTATAATTCTTTGCCTGCAGACATATTCCCTGAACGCTATAAATTGGGCCTTTTCAAGTCGATAGTAAATAGGTATTATTTAAATGTGCATGTTCCATCGTCGAACTCATCGTCACTTTTCATCAATTGAATTGGAGGTCAGATGCGCACTTATTCTATATAATCTCAGGTAAATGTAACCTTTACTGCGTTCCGATTGAAATTACAGGCACATAAGACTATCATCTTATGTCTTAGGGTAACGGGAACAGTGCTAATGTCTCTCTGACTTTTTGATAAAGCTTTGAGCGTTATTGCAACTATTACGAGTATAGACAGGCGTGTCGCTTACTACCAGGCACATGACTTGTTCGTCTCACCTCTTGGTATAATAAAAAACAAGTATTTTACTCTTAAGATTTGCTTCAATGCGCAAGTTAGTGACCTACTAAGTATGTCACGTCGCTTCAACACATTACAATAGTTAAAATATGAGTTGTCAACCCCTAAACTAGGTAAAAGATTCAAGGGACCTAAAGGAGTTGGAATAGGATAAAAACCACGTGTGCGTTAATAAGCGCGCACGCGGAACTGTCCTCTTAATTCCATTCAATTCCGTGAATAACACACATGTTCAAGAACCGTTACAACGTGTCCACTGATTCACCGCCTACGAATATTCAACTCATGTTGACTTTTAAATAACAAGGAAAAATAATCGGTAGTACGTTTTTAACTATTGCGTATAATGTTACCGAGAATTCGTGTTAAATCTATAATGGAGTTGAGGTGAGATGTTTTTACTTTTTTCATTGCATTTTTGTTGCGGTCGGTTTTTGAGGATTGCATAGTGTTGCCGAGAATTCATGTTAATAGAGTTAAGGTAAAATGTTTTGAGAATTGTAGCGACTTTTATCCGATCTAGAAACTTGCCTTTTAAACAAAACAAAACACTGTAATGTGTTTTTACGATTGCGTAATATGTTATCGAAAGTTGTTTACCATTGAAAGAAAACCAGTATTGTAATGTTTTTGACAAAGGAAAAAGTTATTTACATTAGTTCGATTGAGAATTTCATGTTCTCAATTGTGACGTAAATTAAAACAAAAATTGTAAGCTAAAGAGACGACATGTCACGACCATGGAAAGTTTTGTAAGGAGGATTTGCATTGTATTAACTCATTTTACGATTATTATGGGGATATTTTTATTTTGATAATATACAGGTAATGTAAAAATGTCAATAAAAGCTTAAATACTAGAAAGTAAAACTAGGATTTTTAAATTATATGAATAAAATTGGGTCCCCGCGGCAAGGTGCCCAAGATGCTGGCAGCGCTTTGTATTGCTGTGCTAATGCGTTGGGCAAGGAAGCTCTTGGGTTTCCCAGACAGTCTATTAATTTTTTGGATAAAATTTTGTACAGACGAAGGGCAATGGGACCCCAAGGGCCAAGGATTTTGACTCCAAAGGCAGTAAATAGGTAGTCGGAACCGAAATCCTAGTACTTATTACTTTTTAATCTTTCCGTCAGCTCAGCTGCGGAGTCAGCCCTCTTGCTGGTGTGTTTGAGATGGGATGGGGCAAGTGTGTTGGCACATGTGGCGTCCCACACAACCACCGATTATTATTATATAATCACAATCGAGAATTTGAAATTTGATTAGTTAGGTAAAACCAGCGCTGGCGCTAGCACTCTTAGCATCGGGTGTAGTCAATACTGTGGCGTGTTCTAGTGGCACGAAAATCATTTGAAAAGAAGTTACCTGATATGATTTATTATTTTAAAAATAAAATATGATAATAGAAAAGGGATAAAAATAGAACTACGCCAATTTAACTATTTGGAATCATATTTTCAAAGTTTTATTATTATTGAAATGTAATTTAATAGAACAACTGGGCCAAAAAGCAGACTCAATTTTTTTAACGTAGAAACCCATACCCGCCGTCGAGTTACCAGTGACTTATGTCTCTCTCTCTCTCTCATCTTAGCGTTGTCCCGGTTGCGTCCTCAGCAGGGTTGCTGCGGAGCCCGGGGTCCGCTTTCCTACTCTTTCTCCTCCACTTTGCACGGTCTTCGGCATCCTTAGTGGTGAGACCATTGGCACGCATATCACCCTTGGCGACGTCAAGCCAGCACTTCTTGGGTCTGCCCCTTCTACCGGGGCCCGGCGGAGGTGGCATAGCCAGACATTTGTTTCCCACGTAGCAAGCCGGTTTCCGTAAGATGTGGCCGTACCAACGTAGGCGGCTTTCTTGCAGTTTATCTGCAATGTCACGGACATGAAGGCTGCCGCGGATGCGGGAGTTTCTGACACGGTCTTTCCGTGAAACTCCACACATCCAGCGCAGCATCTTCATTTCCGTGACACGCAGCTCCTGCTTATGACGCTCAAGTACGGGCCACGTTTCACTGCCATATAAAAGGACAGGCCTAATGATGGATTTATAGACCTGTCCTTTCAGCTTAACCGGCATCTTGGGGTCACAAATTACACCAGTCACCTCACGCCACTTTGCCCAAGCGGCTGCGATTCGGGCTCTGACGTCGCAGTCGATGTCTCCGGACGCGCTAAGTACAGATCCCAAGTATTTAAACTGGCCCGTAGGCTCGACCGCGTCTTCGCCTATGCGTACGGGTAGGGGATCTGTAGCGTTGCAGACCATGTACTCAGTCTTCGCCACATTTAGTCTCAAACCGCCGTTCTCAAGCGACTCCTTCCACACATTCACTCGTCGTACCAGTCTCCCTCTATCCGCATCCGCCAGCGCGATATCGTCAGCGTACATAAGCATCCACGGGGGTTGCTCATGCGTGTCTCGGATGGAGCTTGAGACCTCGTCTAATATCACGCTGAAC